CTCCCCCCCCCCTTCATTCCTTCCTTCCGGCAGAGATGAAAATAGTATAGAAACTGGAGTACTAATTTCCATGACAAGTATATTAAAGAGTGCTAAAACCATAAGGTTAGGAACTTCTAATGCTCTGCTTCTCAAACTACTGGATAGCTTAGTAGTTTAAGTATCTGGCTGCAGAGCAAGAGGCTGCAAGTTTCCAAATAATTCCCCAGTGTTATCTCCCTGGCAGGGACTGGCCTCAATGATCCATAGAATCCCATCCAGCTCTGCAGCTCTGAGATGATGATGATGATAAATGTAGCCCTATAAGTACTCCCAGAAGCCCCAGCCGTGATGGATGGTGATCAGGGATTCTGGACGATAAAGTCCAAAACATCTGGGAAGCCACAGAAGTTGAGAACCAGTTTTCTGGTGGACATATTCCTCATTCATGCATGCGACCTACCATTCAACCCAACAAGAAGTAGAAACCTGTTCACCCGCTCAGCCTCAGTGTAGGATGTGAATGCTGGCAGCTTCTGTCCTGCGGCATATTGCAAAGGATCCCGGGCGTGAGCGAGCCCAGGAGATGTACGCTGGGTTGCCATCAGGGGTGAGTCTGCTTCTGTGCTGCTGACGACAACTTTATGGGAAGCCTGGAAGAAACCAAGGCCAAGTGCACTTATAGAGCACAGAAATGGAGAAGAGCGGCAGGTAATACAAAGGGAGATGGTACAGGGAATTACATGATGGCATCCAGAAAGGGTTCTTGGATGGCAACTGTACTTACTCTTCACCGGGGGAAATAGCTCTCTGTGTGAGACAGGTCCCTTGACCCTCAGTAGCCAATATGGCGGCAAACCTGGAGTTATGATCACTGATCAAAGATTCAGTGCACCAGGGAGGCCAATGGCGGAGATCAAGCCAACATATATACATACACATATACAGTACTAGATATATACATCTACATCTGTCTGTCTGTATTTCTCCATGTGCATGTACATGCTTCCTTGTAGATAATCTGCCACAGCCATCTTTGGCTAAGGAGAGACTGCTACTTCAGCCTGGAGGTTGCAAAAACCTATTGGAGACTCTGCTGTTCATACCAGTACATGCAGCTGGCCGGTGAGGCGGTGGGCACGGACCATCCATTGGGCAGCCCCTTCACTCTTCAGGATCAAGAGCAACCCCTGCTGTAAGGCTCTTCTGGCAGCATGAAGTTCCACAGTCAAATGGGCCAAGCCGGGCCTAGAAGAAAGTATATGGCCACCCCCAGCCCAAATATCAGACCACCGAAAAAGCATGCAGTGGAGCCAAACAGGGCCATCCCTCCCAAGCTCTCCTGAGTCTCCCCACAACATGGAAGACCCAAGACCCTCACATTAGAGTCTCTGCTAGCCCAGCACAAAATGTCTGACGGTCCCTCCCTTCCAGGCACCCATACCAACCCTCCTGGGAGAAGAGCCTGCCTGTACGGTCCCACTGCACCCCCCAGAAGGGGGGAATGATCAACGGCTTCTGAGTACTGTGTACCTAGAAAACCCTAGGAAAAGGTAACCCTAACTCAGAATTGACTTGATAGCACATCATCTTCATCATCATTGCTTGAAAAGTGTTTAACCTCTAGGTAGCTTTCCCAAGGGCCATTTATTTCCCTGGTCATTCTCTTCCTTGTGAGGGTAAGGCTCAGCAGTAACAGGAGGGCTCACAGTGGTGCAGCCGCCCCAAAAGCTCCCTCTACTCTCTCCTCCCAGACCAGGACTTGACTAGCCATTGACCTCACCAGACTACATACCTATTTATTTCCTGGTGGAGGACGTGGACCCTGTTTACAAAAACTGAAGGTCACCTACTTCTCCTCTAACATACTGGCTACTTTCATTATACTCCAAGAACCCCAGCTCAAGATTTCTGGCTCTTGGCTGGTAATTTTTAAGGCCAGTTTCGATGTGCTCACACTCACAAACTCAAGCACCCACTTTGGAGCAAGTCCTTTGGAGAAGATGATGTGAACTTCAAGCTCTTGAGGAGGATCAGGATTTAGGCAAACCCTTAGAGGCTGGAGCTGTCGCTCAGAGGCAAAGTGAGCGGATGTTAGGAAATTCCTCTGCAGCTTGCAATTGGCTGGTGCAGTCCTGTCTGAAGGGGAAAAGAAGGGGAGGGAGCAATGGATGCAGGCAGGAAAATTGCAGTGATGAAGCCCAACCATTTATCTCCCCCCTTAAATGCTGAAGATTCTCTTCTTATCAGGCTTGCAAAACACATTCCAGGTATTTCTAAGCTGGCAAAGGACCCCCAGTTGCCAAAGGTGGGTCTATTCCATGGACATTCCATCTTTCTTTCACAACAAAACTCAGTGTAGCAGACCCAGAATTTCTGAATGATTTCCCATGCAAGTTGCATCGTCTCCATAAGGTCTTTTGCATCTGACCTAGAACCTAGGCTAACTCAGGGACCTTAGTAGGCAGAGAAAAGAGGCTTAAATTTTATTGTCCTTACAGACTGAAATGTTGGGAAGCCACAAGGGGAGAGATTGCGTCTGTGTACATAGTTCAGATTTGCTGTGGTGCACAGAGAAGGACACAGCAGACCTACAGCCATGTGAAACAGAAAGTACATTCTCTTTGAATTCTATGGTTTTATGTATCAGAACATAGTAAGAATCATCTGGTCCTAAGCAGATCTTAAGGTAAAGGCAAAGATTCCCCTTGACAATTTATCCAGTCGTGTCTGACTCTAGGGGGCGGTGCTCATCTCTGTTTCCAACCCATAGAGCCAGCGTTTGTCCACAGACAATCTTCTGTGGTCACGTGGCCAGCGCGACTAGACAAGGAACGCCGTTTTACCTTCCCACTGTGGTGGTCCCTATTTATCTACTCGCATTTTGCATGCTTTCGAACCGCTAGGTTGGCGGAAGCTGGGACAAGTGACGGGGTCTCACTCCATTGCGTGGATTCTATCTTACCACTTCAGGTCTTCTGACCCTGCAGCACAGAGGCTTCTGCGGTTTAACTCGCAGCGCCACCACATCCCTCGAGCAGATCTTAAAATTAGGTAAATACAACCTGAGATGAACAACCTGAGGTCCATATTACACTGTGCCATGATTTATTTAACAAAAATGCTAAACTGGAGAAGCCATGTGTAAAAAACTAAGCACACTCTTAAGGCTTCCATAGGCATTAAAAGGCTAAGTGGCAGCCAGGTGCTGCTATCTAAATGCCCTTGAGAAATTGATCATCAACAAGTATGACCACCTCTACAAAAGCCAAAGTGGTAGCAGTTTGCTGGTGTGGAGCATTCAGGTCTGTGTTAACACAACGCCAAGGACAAAACACACCAGCGATGACAGTAGAGAAGCAATTGTTGCTGCCATCAATCTGGGAAGGGTTATAAGGCCTTTTACAAACAATTTAAATTCCATAATTCTACAGTGAGGAATTCCATCATTCACAAGTGGAAAACATTTAAGACAGTTAGGTCAGACTATCCAATGCTCAGAGAAATTGGAAAAAAACACACACCGAGTTACATCACAGATTCTACAGGCCTCAGTTAGCATGTTAAATGTTTAAGGTTCATGACAGTACAATTAGAATTTGGTGAAAACCAAACACAGCATATCAGCACAAACACCCCATATCCAACTGTAAAGCTTGTTTTGCAGCCCCAGGGCCTGGGCGTCTTGCAATCCTTGAGTCATACATGAACTCCTCTGTATACCAAAATATTGTAGAGCCAAATGTAAAGCCAAATGTAAACCAAATGTAAATCCAAATGTAAAGCTAAAGCTTGGCTGAAACTGGGTCATGCAACAGGACAAGGATTCCAATAATACCAACAAATCTACAACAGAATGGCTGAAAAAGAAGAAGAATCAAGGTACTGTATTCCAATGGCCCAGTCAAAGTCCAGACCTCAACCCAATTGAAATGCTGCGGTGGGACCTAAAGAGAGCTGTGCGTAAACAAGAACTGAAGCAATGAAGTAAAGAAGACTAGGCCAAAATTCCCCCACAATGATGCGGCAGACTGATAGTCATACAGAAAACGATTATTTCTAGTTATTGCTGCTAAAGGTAGTTCTACAAGCTACCTTTCATAAGGTGTACTTAGTTTTTTCACACATTACTTCTCCAGTTTGGCTTTATTTTTGTCAAATAAATCATGGCACGGTGTAATATTGATTTTATTTATTTAATTAATTTCTATGCCGCCCAATCTACCCAGAGGTCTCTGGGCAGCTCACAACAATTAAAGTTCAATACAATAAAAGATAAAATGATTAAAATACAATTAAAATACAATTAAAATTGCCTGTGTTGTGGTTCATCTGAGGCTGTATTTACCTAATTTTCAGATCTGCTAAGGACCAGCTTATTTTTATTATGTCCCGATAGTGAAGCCATAGAATTCAAATACACACACACACACACACACACACACACACAGAGAGAGAGAGAGAGAGAGAGAGAGAGAGAGAGAGAGAAACTCAGAAAATTTAGGGTTTTTTTACTACAATTCCCTGCACCCCCCAGGGCTTACCTAGGGATTTAGAGAGTCATACTCTTAAGCAAGTACCATTTCCAAGGGATGTGTGCTCCATACCTCTTGTCAAAATATTGGAAAGGTATAATCTTCCCAGGCTTGCTCCCCTACCTCACAGAGAGAGAGAGAGAGAGAGAGAGAAACTCAGAAAATTTAGGGTTTTTTTACTACAATTCCCTGCACCCCCCAGGGCTTACCTAGGGATTTAGAGAGTCATACTCTTAAGCAAGTACCATTTCCAAGGGATGTGTGCTCCATACCTCTTGTCAAAATATTGGAAAGGTATAATCTTCCCAGGCTTGCTCCCCTACCTCACAGAGCCAAGCTCACCCCGCCACCCCAGAGGTGGCATGCGATCACAATGCCAACCCCCTTCTCCTAGAGCTGGTCTCTATCCTGACAACCCCTACCAGCCCCCAGGCGAATGTAGATGGTGTTGACTCCATGGTACTCAGCCAGTGAGGTGACCCCTCCGAACTCCCTACGCGCCCACTTCAGCAGGTCTCTGGGTGTCTGTGGAAAGCTGGTCTCCTTAGCAGAAGTAACTGGCTCAGTGGCTGAGATGCTTGAACCAGGGGAGACCTGCAGGAAGGAGGAAAGGAAGGAGCAATGATGCAAGCCTGGACGACTTGGCCCTTCTCTGACACCCCAGGCTGGGAAGCAGCATTAACAACACAGTGTCACATTTTAACCAGAGAGATCTGGGTTCAAGTTCCCTCACACTTATAGAATCATTGGGTGGCAAGCCTCTCTCAGTCTCAATTGCCCCATCTATAAAATAGGAATAATAGTGACAAGGTGCTTCTGAGGAGAAACAAGATCAACTAGTAAAGCAAGTGTTTTGAGGTGTTTTCTGAATAACAGATTGGTTTTTCTTCGTGTCCTTCCTTCTCACAGCATCACTGCTGTTGTTCATCATCTTCTTCTTCTTTTTTTTTTTTTGCAAAGGGCAGGGACACCCCACCACCACCATCTCCTCAGAAGTGCACGACTCATCCACCCCCACATTGCCCAGCAGGCTCTTCTGCCCCAAGTCCCATCCTCACCTGGAAAGTCCAGTTCTTTCCAGGAGGAGATGGCAGAGTCCAGTGCACAGGCTCCTGCGAGTGCAGCAGAAAGACGGGAGCTCCAGGTAAGGGATCTGGGGCCAGCACCAGGGTCACCTGAAAATGGGGTCATACAGTCAGTAGTAGCCCTTCTCCACGGGTGGCTGAAAGGGGGGAGGGGGAGGAGGAAGAGGAAGGGAATGGGTTTCTCTTGGGGGATGCAATACATTTGCAACTCCTGGGTACCTGGGCATCTGCTGGCACTCTCCTCTGCAAGCTGATAATGTGCACTTCTTCCCCAGTAGCAGAGCGCCCCTGACTGGCACACCCCGTGCCTCTTCGCAGCAGCTCCCAGAAGCCCAGCACAGGATGGGGGGTGGAGGGAGACGCAGGGAGACATGTGAGGTGGTGCCAGGCAACTGCAGAGAAAGGAAAGTTCGGTTTCCTGAAGAAAGGAGATTTCAAGGTACACATTCCCAAAGCTGAGCCTCCTCTGTGCTGACCGGGTAGCTCAGAGAGTTAGGCAACTGGCTGTGGAGCCATTGGCTGGGGGTTTGATTCCCCTCTGTGTCTTTCAGGCGAAAAGCCAGGGCCTGTGTAACTTCCACCACTGGCTGGCCCTCTAGGTCATTTTTGTTTTGTTTTTGGCCGAACAGTGAGAATTGTGACAAATCATTGCAGTGATGTCACAGCCTCTCATAGGAATGCTCTGGTTCCATGCCTGAGCCAGTTACATTTTGGTTTGATCTAGCAGGTCTTAACTCATGTTCTCATCGAGTACCTCTACGGCGGTGGTGGTGGTGGTGTTTGCCCCTGTTGGTTTTCTAGTTAATAGTTGGAATACCTCTGGTTTTATCCAGCACGCTGATGCCTCCAGTCTTTACTCGGCGACATTTTGGCTCCAGTTTTGCTGGCCCTCAACCATCTAAATTCACTATTAGAGGGAATGATTATTTACTGTCCGTTTCAATTATTGTAAATCATGTTAATACTTTGGAAGGTCTAGCAGGTCTTAACTCATGTTCTCATCGAGTACCTCTACGGCGGTGGTGGTGGTGTTTGCCCCTGTTGGTTTTCTAGTTAATAGTTGGAATACCTCTGGTTTTATCCAGCACGCTGATGCCTCCAGTCTTTACTCGGCGACATTTTGGCTCCAGTTTTGCTGGCCCTCAACCATCTAAGTTCACTATTAGAGGGAATGATTATTTACTGTCCGTTTCAATTATTGTAAATCATGTTAACACTTTGGAAGGAGATACGGAATATTAATAGTACTGTACACATTAGATGTTCTTCCACTGCAACTACTCTGGTGTGCATGTACATCATTTAAGAAGGAAGTGTGTTGATTCTGTGTGGAAAGCCTCAACAGAGAGGTAGCACAGCACCAGCCACGAGGTAAAGGCTGCCATGCCTTGTCATTATGACTAGCTTCTAAGTATACGTCACTCTGAGGTAAAAACGAACTGGTAGTCCTGAGGTGGCAGAACAGACTGTACCATTTGAGACTGCAGATGATGGGAAAATGGGAGATGCAGAAAACATGTTCTGATTTTTCCTACCAAAAAACACTTCCTTCACAGACGAGAAAGTAGTACAGTATGGCTGGAATGGTTTTTCTCCTTAGCATACTAGTGCTTTACCTGCCCAGAAAGATTTTAGAATACGATCCGCCACCTTGCAGCCCTCCAGGTGTTGTTGGACTTCAATACCCATCAGTCCTAGCCTGCAAAGTCCTTGGGATTTGCAGTTCAACAACCTCTGAAACTGGCTATAGGTCCTCCTACAGGCCAACCTTAGAGGTTCCTCCAGTAGGAGGGCCTACTGATCCCAATGACAACCAGAGGAAGGAAAAAGCCCTTGGAAAAGAGGCCAACCCAGAGCCCCAGGATCCATTTCCTGTGTCCTCTTTCAGTTTTGGAAATAACAGGAATACTCCTCAGGAACCATCTTTCTGATCCAGAAATCTGACTCTGCTTTATGGAAGTTGCCCACCGCCTGCTAGCAATGAATTCAGTTTCAAGATCCCCAGGAATATGCTCTATGCCACCCACAGGGAACGCCTACGGCTATGCTCTCCAAGTAAGCCACATCAAAAACAAACACCGAGTACAGAGGTGGAGATTAAATATGGCCTTAACTGTACACACCTCTCTCTCCAGGAACACATGGGGTTGGGGGAGGGGGGTGGAATCGAGTCCTGTGCAACAGAAGGAGAAGCCAGAAACATAGAGTGCTTGTTAAGCCCAAGCTCCTTATTATGGCATACTCAAAAGAAATCAAATAAAAAGAAACCGGATGATGTTAATAAGGCAAAAAGCACCTGAATTCAGGAGAGTTCAAAAACAAACCATCAATAAAGTTTTCTTCTAAAAGTACTGACATATTTTGACAACTTAGTAATATACTTGTTGCATTGAACAATAAGAAATTTGATTAGCTTCAGGGCACCATTTTAGAACTGGGAGTGGGCAGTGAACAGGAGAAATTTAACCAGGTCAAAAGTTCTTTTTTCCAATGCACACTGCGCTGCAAAGTAAGTATTTTAAGAATAACAATTCTCTGAAGAATTATAATGCAGAGTATCGACTGTCCCCTATACAGAAGACGCACGCTCTCTCTGCCCTACTCCTCTCTCACACACAAGCACGCACATTCACTCACACAAGCAGCACAAGCTTTTAAGCAGAAGGTCATATGCCTTTGGCATGCACGGTTACTACACTGTCAATAGTCATGCAATGTTTTGACCCACTGAGCTCTGAAATACAAGCGCCCTCGAGGAATGTGGCTGCAGGGCACCCTGCCGACCCTCCTGCCCTTCTCCCTACCACCACCACAAACACACATTAGCCGTAACGGATCACTTGAGCTGCCCAGCCCCATAGCACCTCAGTAGCTTAGATATTACCTGTTCCAGAGAATCTCCAAATTATAAATAGCAGCAGGCTCCAGCTCCAAAGGTGAGCTGTGTGTTGATCATTCCAATGCATGGCTTTAAAAAAATCCCAAGCAAGTCTATGAATCTTCTCTAGCTCCACCCTGAGTAGGAAAATGAAAACTAGGGTGAGGCAGCATGGGAGCTGAAGGGAATTTATTTCAGGACCTTAGAGCTATTTGGAAATGTTTTCCTACCCTCCAACTTATTTTCTTGCCCTGATTTTGACATAGAATGTGAAGAATTTCTCTGCTCTGCCTACTACAAATAAGTGCAGAGACACAAGCCCCCAGCCAGGTTTCATTATTCTGTTACACTTACACATACAGGGGGAGGGGGGGGAGGATTCTCTATTTCAGTACATGCTGAATATCTATTGATCAACAATACAGCATATACACTGGTCAAAGATCATCTTTGCAGATAAACACTCAAAAAAGAAAGGCTTCTTTCTCTTTCCTACTGAAGTCCAGATGTCATCCTGGCTATTTTGACTTGGGATGCAGTAGCTCTGAACTTTGGATGCAGTAGCTCTGTTGTGTCCCATCCAAATTAGTCTTCCAGACTCTTCAGTCAGTAAATTCTTCCTTCTTCTGCACTCCTTTCTACACTTATTTCACCTGGAACATCAGCTGTTAACAACCCATACTTTTTGCTCCTTGTTACATGGCATTGAGTGTTCTAGCAGCTTTCTACACTTGGTTCTCTGATTTCAGTCCAGGAAATTCTATCCGGTGATAAATTCACATTTTCAAGTCCTACTGTGCCACTCCAACTTCTCTCCATTCTAGTCGTTTCTATCCCTTTAGCAAGACAAGATGTCTTACTGTGAACCACCACCCCACCCTACCCCGCTCTGTCTTGCTCTACCTGTCGGCAACCTCTCTCCAAGGCGTTCGGGCAAAGCCCTGCCCCAGAAACTGCTGCCTGAGATGGGATCTTTGATCTCCTCGCATGATGCCCAACATGTGCTCCACCACCAATGGTGCTCTGTTCCCTGCCCCCATGTTTTGGTAACTGGGTATCGTTTATTCCCTTTTAAAAATCCGTTCCGCCACACACACCCCCATACTTTTTATCTCTGTCCTTCTCTAACCCATTGCAGGACTGCTTTCTCTTTCACATGTTATCTCTGATGTGGAATCACAATGCATCAAGACAGTGAGCCTGGAGGATTACCAGACTGAAGCGGTTTTTAAGGCTATTACCCACCTCAAGGAAGAATGCAGGACCCAGTCTGGAAGCTCCATGTTTTGGAAAGGTTGCCAAGAAGGCACTTACCTTGCCCAGCCGATCTGCTCCACTAGAGTTTGATGTGGCTGCTGTTTAGGAAGAGAATTAAGCAGAGGATGTTGGACAAGTTCCTTCCTGAGCCAAGGAGTAGGAAGGTGGGAGGTCTCCCCCTACTCAAGGAGATGCAGAAACCACAGACAACTCTGTGCCTCTTGAATCCATGCTGCTGTGGCTTCAGAAACAATAATGTGAATTATACAGGTCGGTGTAAAGTTAAAAATAACCACAGGATGGTCAAGTTGCAAGGAAGAGGGGCGAGTGCCTGGATTAAATGGCAGCTGCTGATTCCTAAGGGAATTTAGCCATGGGGAAAAGAGAGGCCAAGAACAGACAGGAGCAACAGCAGCATCCAGCTCCTCCTCCAGTTTCACACCTCTAATCGCAGCTTCACCCCTCGCGAAGACAAGGGGAAAGCTCCTCTCCCTTCCTAACAAGTGAGCGAGGTCCCCGGAGGAGGAGGAGGAGGCTCGAGTCATCACACGAGCGACCTTCACTCTGACAATGTTCCACAAAATAAGGAGCACAAGGCATGCAACTTGGGTTACCTAGGAGATGGGTGGATTTATGATTAACGCAGGCAAGAGGAGGAAATGCTCCCGAGAGAGGCCCTGGGCAGGTATGTGGAGCCCCACTCAATGTGGCGCCATGGGGTCAGCGTGACCTGCTGCTGCAAAGAGGGGCTTGGAAGGAGAAATGCCAGGTAGGTGGCCTGCCTGTCATGGGTCAGAAAAAGTGCAGCCAGGAAGGGAAGGAATGTGGCAGTAGTAAAGAAGCTGGCCAAAGGAGAGGGGGAAGAGAATCTTTTGGCTCCAAGATCCTCAAGAAAAGCATCAGGCCTTGTGGGACTCAAGGGGCCTGGACCATCCGCCCATAACAAATCAGGGGCAGCCTTCCAGCACATCCAAAGGATCGGCGGAGAAATCTATCACAACCAAACATGGCTTGCACCACTTTAGTTGTCGGACGGGAAATATGGGATCCTTCAAATGTCGACAGCTAGTGTAGTTAGACTGAGACCCAGGAGAGACCTAGCTGCCAGTCTCCCATGGACCAGGGAGATCATCGTGTGCCTTTGGGCTTGTAGCTTTCTTGTATCCTGGCTTGCCTCACAGGGCTGCAGTGAAGATGACCGGGGGGGGTCGGCACACGGGTGGAGGAAGAGGCTCCCTGTGCACTGCTCTGAGCTCCCCAGAAGAAAGCTGGGATTGAAATGTAGCCGATTCTAATTAACACCATCTGAACTTATTGGACCTGCTGGCTGGTGTAGATGAGAGTAGGCCCTCTGCGAGCCCAGATGTGGCCCATGCCTTTTCTCATTGTGAGAAATAAAATCATTTGGGAATCGATACATATATTTTTAATGTAAAGAATAGCAATGTAAAAAGAAAAAAAATCCTAGCATGCATTAGAAGCTCCCCTTGGTTGAGGTGAGAGCCCCTCCGTGAGGCTAGCAATGTAAATGTAAGGAATAGCAATGTAAAAAGAAAAAAATCCTAGTATGCATTAGAAGCTCACTGTTTGAGGTGAGAGCCCCTCCGTGAGACAAAACTAGGGCCAAATGGCCCCGAGGTCCCCCCACGCACACACTCTTTTAAGACCTGGATGGAAATTGAACCACCTTTGGAGGAGCGCAGTTTCCCTGCCACTTTCCTAAGCTCAG